TTTTTCCTCTTCTTTCTTCTTCTAGTTGAGCTCTGATCATCCAGTCATTGAAGCCATGTCGTGTGTATTATCTGCAGGTGTGTGGGTGTTCTTACACATAATGCCCTCTCTTCTTATCAGCTGGATGCTTCACTCTCTACTCTAGTCCTCTGTGACTATGTCACTGAATCTGGGCCCAGGAGTCCCCAGGTCTTGCCATACTGCTGGCCAACCAGGTCTCCACCCGGTTTCACAGGAGTCTATTGAATGTGGTCGGGCTTAGCTCGCCGCATCATTACTGTTTATCCATCACTTCCCCTTACTGGTGACGAACGTGGTCACCAGTCAGAGCGCGCATGTCTGCTAGTGTATTCCTATTGAGTCTTAGTCTTGGAAGGGGGTCTGAGGGGACAGGACCATTTGCTTTGATGTCTGCTAGACTAGCAACTTGCTTGTTCTTGTAGTAGTCAGTTAGACTGCTGTTATTGTTTTGTATTTTTCCTGTTGGTCTTTCTTTCAAGAACTATCTTCTGTTCTTCTAACTGCTCCAGGCTGGTCTGCTTGTCCTTTCAAGTGGAAATTTCCCACCTCAGAAGATTCTGGATGGGGTTCAGGATTCCACCTATGGTCTTATGTAATGCAGCGGCTCCACAGGAAGCCTCCTTCACTGGGCATGTTGTAGCCCCATTTTAGGTATTCCAATCAGTTAAAGGCAGAAGACAGACTTTCTGTGGTGATATTTTTGGCTATTCCTTTCTCTTTCCCTCAAGTGTTCACTTTATAATGGTAGGCAAGGGAAACCAAGATTCAAAAGACAGCCAAGCATTTTAACATTGTACCCATTCCAACCATGTCTCAATCCCTGTATCCCAGAGCCCTGTTGTTCCAAGGTTGTGCATACATCATTATTTACCTCTGTCCCACTTAGCCCATGCAAACCTGCCGAATTGTTCTCCCATCTGCCTTGTTCTTCCACCCCCTCCCCTTTCTTGTATATTGCCCCCTTCCTCAGCACCCAAACTATCCTATGTCTATTCGCTGCCCTGTGCTCCACCTTCCCCTCCCCCCCCCCACCCCCCCCCCCCCTTAAATGTGGTTTCTTTTTGTTAGTCTTGTACTATAGTGGTCTTATGCTGTATTTCTCCTTTTGTGACTAATTTCACTCTAACTGCAGTATTGTTGTAGAATTTACATCTACTTTTTATTTTCAATTCCTGGCACATGATGAATTTGATTAATTTCCAAGTCAGAACATAGAGTGATGTTTGAAATATTTCACTTAGATATTATCAGATGCATGCAAATATTGGTGACCAGATACTGCTTTTGAAAAATTGGTTGTTGGGTCAAATGTGATTTATAATTCTGCCATCAGTGGATGTTTGCAGACAAGGTCTTTCAGCAGTATACTTGTCTTAGTCTTATTAGGATGCCTCCGAAAAAGACCCAATCAGAACTTAAATTGTGATTTCTTACAAGTTCTTTATTAATATTTTTGTTACTTTGAACATTTATTCATCTCTGTTCAGAAAAACAAAATAAAGATTCTTAATTGCTTAACATAGGTAAGTTGTGAGAATCATAAAAATAATATTCACTCCTGAAGGAGACCTGGTGTGGCGCTGTAGGATAAGCACTAGATCACTATTAATATTAAATAAAGACTCTTTATATCTTTTTTCCCCAGAATTTTTACATGCATTTTTTTTCTTAAATGTTTTATTGTGAATTATGTGATAGTTTAAATGGGAGAACATTAATTTTACATTCATGCTATTGTATAGTGTCTCATTGCCATGGTTACAGTCCCCTACATGCATCATCAACCACCAGTGGATGTATCCTGCAATCCTGTCCCCCAGACCCCTCAGGTCTTCAGCACACAGTCGCTCTCCCTCTCTGGATCTAAAGTCTCCAGCTGCTCCATCGCTCCACGTCATCATCTCTGTTGCCATTTCAGGCATCACTGCTTCTCTGGGTAGGGTCCCGCTCTCTGCTCTTCTCCATTGGTGGTCCTAGGGACCTCCACCTCTAGATTGAAAAGTTAATCACTCCCCTCCTTGCTATAAAATGTCTACCTTTACATTTCCAGCCCTCACAATCAGTCCTGATAACAATTATTCACTATTGTATCACAAGAGACCTGTCTGCATCAGCCCCGCCTAG